CCCCAAAACCCCAAAACCCCATGTTTATGGAATTCTGGATTTTAGTATAAATTGATTTGATCGAAATTAACCTTCGTTGTAACTTAAAGATAGTTATTAAATCAAGAGTGATTAAAGTTGCTTGAAATAAATAAATTTCTCATAGAAGGGTATAGACTTCTAACTCAGTTGTGACATAATAGTATTCTCCAAATAAGAAACTGTGGGCCTCGTTACTACCTGCTGAAACACCTTCTGGAAGGGTGTAAGAAGTGCCAAGGTTAGCATAGTTTCTTCTGTTTCTGTCAGATCCATCTGATCCAGATGCAACATAAAGATCAAATCCCCTTCCAAAAGTAGGACCGAAGTTATGGTCATCATATATGGCATCAACACCTCCCTCCTTAATAGGGATTTTAACTTGGTGATCAGCAGAGTAAAGGAAAGCATCCTTATCTGTAATCCATGAAAAACTGTTGGTCCAGGTCTTAGAAGTGTATCCTCCAGCAATTCTGCCTTTAGTTGTCTTAAGAATTGTGAGAGTTGGACCTGTAAAGTCACAAGCGTTGTGGAAATCTCTAGATCTAAATCCATTATCGCTAGCTCTCCAGCAAATAATGGAGACTGTATATTTCTCATCAACAAGACTTTGAACAAATCCCAAGTTAGTCTAATTTAGGATTTTTGAGTCGATAAAAAGCTTTGAGTTTGGTTTTTCTTCAGGTTCTTGACTTAATTCTGAAGAGAACTGAATTCTACCTTGGGAATCAAGAACTGAAATTGAGGTTTCATTGAAGGCGGCAACCTTGACTCCGAAAGCATTGTTAACGTTTAACCATTAAAGTGTTGAGGGATCCCATTTTATAAGTTTGAAATCGCCTAATTCTCCTCTCTTTTCACAACTTAGAGCCCATACACTGCTATCAGCACCGACGGTTATATCTTTCACGCATTTTTCTCCATAACTAACAGTCTTACCATTAGCATCAACAAAGAGAGGTTGGTCATCTTTCAAGACTAGTTTGGAGAAACTTTATGGTGAAAGTAGCTTATACTAGAATCCATCACCTTTGATCCATTTTACAGAATTTGGTTGAGATGGATTTGAAGAGATAGCGTAGATCATTCCATTAGAGCCAACTACAAAGTCTTGAATGTCCTTAAGAATTACAGCAGACTTTGAATTCTGGGCATACACTTAGTTGCTGGTATCTAGGAGGTAGAAGTTACCAGCCTTATCAAACTTGATATCTTTGACTTAGAGGCTCTTATCGAGTGGGCTCCAAAGTCCATTATCAAAGTTAAACTTATAAGCAAGTCTGGATATGGTTTTATCTTGTCCGTACTCTTAGATTCCATAGAAATCTCCACTTGGAGAGAAAGCAATATCTGCAAAATGACCAGCTTGGCTCCACTTGAGAGTGCTTGATTCTTCTAAAGTGAAGCTACTTGATTCCGTGGACAAAAGAGTCTAGGTGTTTTAGACTCCATCTAGATTGGAACTTTATGATGAAGAGATTAAAGCGTAGCAAATTGCAAATCCAACTGAGAATATAGCTAAGTCACGAACGACTCTCTTCTTTGTAGAGGATTTTTAAGTAGTTATGGGCGTTTGCCCGTTAAGTAACAAAGTTCTATCCATAGTCAAAGGTTATCTAGCTAGTTTAGAATCTTTAAGTAAAACTATAGTTTTTAATTATTTAATAAGCTCAGTCTATATCCTCTTATTAATACGTAAATTAGACTATTTTATTTCTACTACTAACATTAGATAAGTCTAGACATTTAAATATCAGAATTCTTATTAATAGATTAATATTTCACTAATTTGAGCTACATTTATTTTTATTAAAATAACAAAGGTTTGAAAATTTACGAATTAAATAACATGGGGTTTTGGGGTTTTGGGGTTTTGGGG